GTGTGTGTGTGTGTGTGTGTGTGTGTGTGTGTGTGTGTGTGTGTGTGAGTGTGAGTGTAATACATACAATATATACACATATTCGCATATAAATCTCGCCCTAACTGCAATCTATATAGAGTGAGAAGGACCACCAACTATTCGCTAGTTCTCTGCATTTACAAATCCTTCAACATATTTGAGATTGACCTACTTTTTTATTACATATTTTATATATGGCGTCGTCTGAATAATAGTTTACATTGCTATTGTTGTTACTTTTCTTCTTGTTATTGTTGTTGTTGCTATCGTTATATTGTTAGCATTTTACTGCGATATACGAAAACATACAAACGCACGAGGAAGTTTTGTTGTAATGCCCTCACAATCTGGCCCTTTTTTTGTTTCTCTTTCTTTCTACTAGTTTACGTAGCACACAGTTAGGCAGATAATGCATGCTTTAAGCGCCACAAAGTAGGTGCTGCCTTCTCTGTTCTTATCGTTGCGTTTTCAGATTTAAATTATTTTAATGAACGTTAACTTTGTTTCTAGAGAGAGAAAAGCAAATAAAAAAAAAAACAAAAAAAAAATAGTAGTTAATGGGATGATGTTTTGTAAAATATTTTTATGAAAAAATTATAATATGATTGTGCCGTCGTTAAATCATGAGATCATCTTCGTTTAATTTCCATTCTGCACAAGTTCAAAGTATTTTATAAGCGTTTACAGCTTTTAAGCTTGTGATAGCGAATAAGAGTACAAATGAACGCATAACTTTATTACAAAAATCACATATATCATATGAAAGACAAAAGTCATTGATATTTATCGCAAATTTCACGTTAGTATAGAAAAATTTCATATAAAATTTTCGCCGATAATATCTAAATTTCTAAATGGAATACTCGAACGATCATTTATCGAAATAGAGGAAACCAGTTGAATATCAAAAAAAAAAAAAAAAAAAAAACACGAGAAACCAAGAAAAACAGGTCAAAACGTCCAGACGTGGATTTGATTAATTAAAAATATTTCGCGCAAAGATTATCACAAGTGTATGAAATAACTTTATTTTGGTTGTCACAGGTTTGCGTTCTCATTTTTGTTTTCGCTTAAACTTGATACCTTTTATTTTCGCTATTTAACTGTCGTCTGCTTTAACTTGGCTTATTATAAATAGTTATTCGATAAATCAATTGCTTATATATGAGGCTATAGATTATATTTGCAAGATTCGCGGAAGTACAGACAATAAACTTTTTCAAATCTTTGTAACGGTCCACTTTACGCCTCACTTTCCCTTTGAATTGGAGTTGTTTCGACAGACATTTTAAGTGTAAACGATGCACTTTCTACCGCTGTTTCATTACTAACTATAAAAGACTATTCATTTTGAAGGCATTCTATAGTATAGAACCCAATTCGGCGAGTCATCTATTTTTGATTTGCTGACTCACACAAGTAGAAAAGGTATGGAAACAGATATATTAGAATACGTTCTACACAAATCGATTTGTCCGACACTCTGTTATTAAAATTGGTTAAAATTTTAAGTTTATATATACGTGTCCAAATAGTCGTTTGATTATTATCAAGTTTTTCCCGATCTGATGCATGAATGCCATACTATTATTACTTAACCCGAATTATCTAAACTTTGTTACGCTAACTTTAGGGAAAATTTCTGAAATATATCTCACACCGTATTATAAGTCGTCTTATCAATTGTTTGGTTTCTACCAAGCTAGCTCTGTCAGTGATTCGCTCCTTGCTCGTTCATTAAGTTGATGTGAAAACCATTACCATCTCGTTGCTACTCGTAGTTGTAATCGATAATATTACGGACACATATTTTTTTTAAATCAAAATCTCCGTAGCAAGAGTTTGCTTGCATATTGAGCAAGTAATTTTAGATAACCGGATAGCCAATTCGCTTTCATGCAAAACGCATTCGCCGGTCAAGGATTAGTTTGTAATGCAGTGACATCATAAGAATTGCTATCATTGTCTGAATTGCTATCCTGTTTACAATGATAATATTATTACAAAATTTTTATGCTTTTTCTTCTTTATGTAGGGCTTCCTGGAAGGTCCACCATGCACTAATTCACCGCCCGATACATTGGCTGCTCTATTATGGACAATAACAGCTGTTTTCGGCATTGTGTACGCCTTGTTGGGTAAGCACAGAATACAGTCCATGATTAACAATAGCATTTACGTGCACAGCACACATCGGAGCAAAACACTTGAATGCAGCTTTATGTACACAGATTTATAACTAATACATACACACTTTACATATTGTTGCACATAAACTGAAGGTCATATCATATCTCTTGACACAATTAATAACAAAACATAAGTTGAACTTAAATTTAATATTATTTATGCGTATAGGTTTTATGTCGTGTGTTGTACATAGTTGAAATAAGCTGTAGGTTCTAAATGTGCTTTTTTTTGTTTTTTTTTTGTTTTTTCTTTTTTTCAATTTCGCAAAGGCTATCGCTGCTTAAGAGCGGTGGGCTTTCTCACTGGGCTTTTTATTGGAGCGAATGGTGTTGTAATGTTCCGTCAGTATTATATACCGATACTGGGCGAACCCACGGATTCGGCTTTGGCTATAGTAGCCGGTTTAGTGGGAGCGGTTCTTGGCTCGACATATCCTGTTGCTACTACGCTAATAAGCGCTTTCGCTGGAGCTTTATTGGCCGGAGCCGCAATGACAGTGTGCGTGGCCACGATGCCAGATAATCAGTTTGGGGTAAGTGGTTCGGTGTTCCTTTGCATACGGCTCGACAGTTATAAGTGTACTTAAATTAACAGCATGCTGAAATTACGGTGGCTTTGATAGGTGGTGCCGGTATTTTCGCCGTTCTAACATTATGCAGCGCCAAGTATGTTACCATTTTAACTTCAAGCGTAGTGGGGTCTGCGATGATCATAACATCGGTAGATTTTTTCTTACATGGCTTAGAACTAACGCACTGGGTACGGCATAAACATTATTAATGGCTTAGTATCCTTTCAAGTAAAAAAAAAACTTTCATAAATTTCCTGCAGATTTTTAATATGAAGCCTCATCCTAATCCGCCAGCTTGCTACGGTGGCATATTGATTTGCGCTTGGCCCGTGGCGATTATTATCAGCATAATGATCCAGTGTTTCATTACCGCCTGGGGCGTGGATCACCGCAAGCGTTTACTGCAGCAACGTCATCAACAACTCGCACGCATGCAGGCTAGACCACGCGAAACACGCGAAGAAGCCAGGCAGCGTAAATTTCGCTATTTATATCAAATACGAACGGCTCGCGGTGACATTATCTCTCAGGTGAGTAAAGTATAATACATAACCAAAAAAGAAGTAGAGAAGGAGAGAATTTTAATAGGTAAGAAAGCTGCACCTGCACGCTCGTCTCAAGACAGATCAGATATATAATCGTTAGTTAAGTGTGTTACATAAACATAGTTGCTTTCTTGTACCGTCTGCCGAAAGGTGAGGAATATAAACATTCGCTACCCTATAAAGTCTAAATACCTTCTTGATCACTACCAAATCCTGAATTGATCTAGGTATGTCCCTCTATTCGTCTGTCCGTCCACGTTTTGTCCGTGGTAAACATTACACTGGTCACGAAAGTTTATATTACGGCTTCAAATTTTGCAAAAATCTTGTAAGGTTTTGTATGCAGGTCGCTACAATATAACGTATACTCAGAACATCTTTGTCTACAAAATAAAAAATGAATTTTGTTATTATTTATTCGTTACTTATAAGCAATTCTATTCTATGGATGGCCCTGCAGAACCGGTGCAAAAATAGAGGAAGTCTGCCACGCCTACTCAAATTTACAGAGTATTGAAATTTCATTCTTTTATGAAAACGTTCCACAAAAGCTTCAGCGAGACTATACAGTCCGCATATTGTTAGCTAACATCATATTCTGGATCATTGTAGGCTTGTTTGGCACAGCGTGCCGCCTGTCCGGCTGTCCGCTTATTCATATGATAAACTTTCTCCCGATCGTAAAAACGAAGGCATCTGTTTCAGATTTGGTAAAAATATAGGAAATCGTTGCACACAGGTCAATATTAGGAATGAGGTAAATCGGTACAAGGACACGCCGACAGGACAATATAACTTGAGAACATCTCGGCTTTCCGGATATTCTTCTCTCTACAAATACATAAACTATGACGGGCAGACGATAAAAATTTCCACTTGCATATTCGCGAGCACCTAATACTATAGAGTAATGAAATTTAGTTTTTTCGATTTTTCGTTAGTATTTATTAAGATGGATGTGGTGAATATAAAAAATCTGGTGATAGTCGAAAATAACTTTCCTAATTGTTTGTTATTGTGAGCGTCTTGTTGAGATCATTGACTTAACTAATGCAGATAACTACTTGAAATAGGGAATTTTTGCACGAAAAAGGGCTTTTCTTGAAGTTATAGCCTTAAGCTATCACAAACGGACTTACTAAGCAGAGAATTTGATTGTCAGCAACTAGCTAACTAATCGTAAACACATTGACTTTCGGTTCATTGCCTCAGTTTTTGCGATTTACAGAATTCCAACAACGGACGGACGGATAGACCGGCATGACTAATTACGTCCATACAACTCGCAATAACCTGAAGTAGCATCGGGAATCGTTCGTCCCATTTTCAGCGGGACTGGCACACCTGCTCTAACCAAGTATGGTGTAATTTTCGAGGACCTTCTTTGTGGACTAGTTTACTTACAGCAAGTATTTATGTAAGTTGTTTTCGAGATCGTAACTCGATTTTTGCTATGGATAGATATATTGAATCAAAAATCAAGAATTTACTTCAAGTCCTGTGTTTGCCATGGAATTTGTTACGCGAAATCACTAAGAATATTGTAAAAAGTTTAAAGGAAGCAAGGCGATGGCATATGAAAGGTGCAATGCATCCACGTAGTTATTTGAGTTAAGTACGAGAGTTTCCCTCCTATTCAGTAGAACTTTGACATCACTTGAACTGCAAAGTTCAATGTATTTTCGATAGATGCGTTTGAGAGAGAGAGAGAGAGAGAGAAGGAGAGAGAGATAGAGAATATTGCCAATGTGTACCTCACATTCTGTCTCCACCTCATAATCTCTCTTATAAAAGTCAGATCGAGAATCAGATCAGGAAGGCGACTTGAGCCGCATGAGACTAAAATAAAGAAAATGCAAAGAAGGAGCGTAGCGCTCATAAAATCTGTTCCAACCCTTGATTAGAACATCGGCCCGAGTGTACTACTTCGAATAGATCCTACTTTCAATGGAATTAATTCGCGAACTCAAACTTCAAGTGAGGTAGGCTTTAATTCGATCATAATTACAGTAAATGCTTAGTCGGTAAAGGCATTGATCTTGCCAATTGGGACCGCATCGCATATCCACCCATTCTCTTTCCTCACTTTTTTTGGAACACATCGTGTTACACGAATAAAGAACATCCCCAGAGTAATTGCATCATATTACAAAAAAAAAAAAAAAAAAAAAGTAGATAGTTAATGATAGCTCTTGCAAGTCAAAGAAAGTAAATTCATTTCAGGAATTTCAAGCAAACAATAACTGATTAATTAGAAAATGTACTCAATTTTTGATAATTTTCTTTACTTTTTTAAGTAATGCGAATGAATAGTTCACGTTAGCGCCTGAAAACGTAACAAAACCACTCGTTCGTATATAGTCAGCTTTTAAGTACGAAGTATCAAATTTGTTTTTGTAATTCCTGGTATTTTTTTTGACATAATGTATATAGAAATTTAATGCACACGGGACACGCAAAATTCATTCAGTTGCAATTTCTCGTTGTAGAATTTCGTTTCAGCTTTACAGAAACGCATACAGCTCAGCGGCACGGAAACTCCTTCGGAACGTTCTCTGAAAACTGGCTCCAATGAACGTAATACCTTTCGTAGCGATCGTACTCATTTCACGACAATACCGCCCGATTCGGATATGTTTGATAAAATTGAAATTGTACGTGACATAGCATAACAAACGGCTTATAATTATATGTAAGTCTTTCCGAATTAAAAGACAAATGAAATCCTTTTACACACAGCCAAGCTATTAGTATTGTAAGTATTATTATGCGCAAATAAAAAAAAAAGTTTTTAAAAATTTAAAGAAACAGAAAAAAAGAAAAAACTTTAAAAAGCAGCTTAATCAGGTTTCCTGTGTAAAAGTTTAAAAAAAAAAAAATTTATTTATTTCGCGAAAGTAACAAATAACACGATCAGAGAATGAAAAAAAACGAAAAGAGAGAAAAGAGAATTCATTTAACTTGTATTATCGAATAAACGCCAGTTTTATAATGTCGGGGTTAAAGTTGATCATTTGGTTAAAGTACAAAATTAATCCTTAGCTGACTGGATATTATGAAAACGGCTCTAAACAATGTGAGGACAAAAATAAAACGAATGAAGTTAGTTGATTAAATATAATAGAAAAGCAAATAAACAAATAAAAATTGAAAAAATAAACCAACAAAGCAAAAGTGCTGCTAACATTTTCTCTCAATCGTTTTTTACCAATTTCATTCTTCGTGTGAATCAAACGCTTAAGACCTTAGTTCTTCTTCCTAAATACATTTTTTTTGCTCTTCGGGTGATATAATTTAGCATTAAATTGATTTCATTTTAATTTCTAATTTTATAATTTACTCGTATTTTAGTTGAAGAATTTAAAATTAGCTTATACAAGTTTCTTTATCGTCGTTCCAATTATTCGCTTTAACGATGCCACTCGACGTACATACGTATCCTAAAATGTCCGTGTATTTAAATGTTCGTGTGTCCGTTCAATGCTTCCGTAGTAAATGGCAGTTTTTATAGTTCGTTGAGACAATATGTCAGTGATTTGTATTCCAGTCAAAAAATTTGCTGTCCAGAAAGCCATCAAATGTTTGATCTACGCAGCAGTCCGTAAAGAAAATGAGGTCAAAACAATTTACTGGTTAACATTCAGGTTACATTCGATCGTCATTGGTTTTTTTTTTTTCCATTGTTCAGGCATCCCGGGCACGTGGCGGAAGGGTTATGATGGTCTCAAATTATTGGGGTTAGAAGATGACCGAAAGAGATAGAATATTGGGTATTTTAAATGCACGAATGTTAGGAACGATACCTAAAACCTCTGCATGTATATTGTCCAGCACCTATAATAAACTGACAGACTCACCTTCAGGAGAAATAGGTAAGGATGCTATGAAAGCTAAATAGTTCTGTAGAGCACCTATGGTAGAATCACCTTTAACTAAGTCAAAAAAGTTGGAAACCCATTCATTAACTAGAGTCACCTAAGCCGCTCACTGCCCGTTATGGTCGCCATAAACAATTCTCAGAACCGCCTAAGACTTCAATTTAGTGGTTATCCCTACTCGGAATGGCTGACCCATTAAAAGGAGCATCTTGGCTCGCATCTTTGTATAAGCTTCCAACAGGTAACTGCCTTTTCAGATACAAAAAATTGCAATACTTCCAAAATATTCAATACTCCCTTTTAAGTCAAGAAGTTTGACGATTGAGTCGCCCAATTCAATGTTATTCATATTGATATATATCGTAAATTTATTATCCTGGGCTGGGGAGAGTACCTATTAATTTCATTTTATTATTTTAAGGATTCCTATTTTCGCTTAACAAGGCCACGAGCGAATACACATCATCTTGTTATTATTAGGCTTAACTTTTTTTTCAGATCTCGTTATTCACTTTATTCTTAATTATATTAAGAGTAAGAACGAATTTAGCAAATCCACTTAAATCTATCTATTTGCAGTGGCAATTGGCAATGTATTAAACGTTGAGAAAGAAAATGATTGCGATAATATCATATAAATTTTAAAATGGGCCTAATAAACAAAGATTCGAACAATAGCTGATCTTAGGAATCCTAGGAAATGCCAGAAATTTCTAAAAACCAATTTTAAAGTTTTTTGAACAATACTGAGACAAAAATGGTCTCAATTAATGGAGGTATTATCCAGGAAAATAGTAAGACAACCACTTCAGCTACAACGAGTGACAGTTTCGCTGACGTGTTAGTTGGGTTAAATAAAAAGGCTGCTACTTTCACCATTATGATATAGATTGACTTCGTTTGATATAAAATTCAAGCCATGGATGTGGATGATGTTTATTTTTTTGCACAAAACGGCCCCCACTTGTCACACAACTCATCAAGCAATGGCTCTCTCTATACTTTTTTTACAGACATATCTTTGCCTTAAGGCGATTGTAACTTTTTGTGCCCACCGCTCAAAATATATGAGATGCGTTTAATGTTCACATATGCATTTAAATCTGCATGCGAGGCCACACAAAGCGTGTAATTAGCTTGAATAAAGGACAAGTGTAGACGTGCATATATATTTGCAACGACAATTCTTCTGTCGTTGGAATTTTGGTCGCGGCTTTGAAATTTTGTATAAAAGTTGTCGCTCTTGATACACTCAAAAATCAGCAAAGCGTCTGGACACCGTTACCGGAAAGCTTATTAAATTCCTTTCTTTCTATTGAAATTAATTGTTTTTAAGGCAAAGTGTTTCTTTTTGGAAAGGCATTTGTCCCTATAGAATTCGCAAAGACTCTGTAGCCAAGCTACAGTTATTTTATCCTCGTGTACATATGTGTCTTTACCAGATGATAAGGATACGTTCGTTATATTTATGGGGACATCCTTGGCGACTTCTTGTTGTCGACGATGATGATGATGATGATGATGATGATGATGATGATAGATGATCGATAGCGAGATCGGCAAATATCTCACCAGGCGGGGAAAGCAATTGGCCAATTTTATAAGAGTGCATTACATCTACTTTCACACTCTGCGCTCTTCAACAAAAGTATTATTAAAACATTTACTCTATTAATTGCACATATGCTGACATTTCAAAAGTTACGTTTGAAAAGCTAATTTGAAAGTTTCTCTAAAGAGAAATAAGATCACAATTCTTCTGTATATAAGTACATAAAAAAAATATAGTTTGAATATGCATTAACTAGTGGTGGGTATTCAAAAATACCTGCCTAAGTCGACTATGGCGTTTTCTTTGTTACTTGTGTTGTTAATTTTGTAAAGCTGAGAAGGAATTTTGTTTTATTTCTTTTTTCAATTACTTTATTTCTCTATTCAATATTTTTCTCTAAATTTTTAGAAAGCCCTAAGGTAACGCGTAGATAATCCAAAATAATGACCATGTAGAAGGCATTTCATTATGGGCATATTTACATGAAACTTCGTTTACAAAAATGCATTTATTTTTTAATGAGCCTTAAGGCAAGGTATGCAGTTATATTAAAATCATTTATCGACGACATCCGATTAGTTGAGCAAACAATTTTTCCCTAAGCAAGTTACAAGTCTATCTAATCGAGGGGACGATAGACGTTACTTTTTATCAAAAACATGTTAAAATATTGTCGACTAATAAACTCCCTACGTCACTCTGCCTAATACAATCCTTCATTTATATTCGTCGTAAAATATTAAAAATTCTAGTTCGTTACCATATGAACACTTATTTATCATTATAATACTACCTATTATTATGCTTATTTTTTATGCAAGTGCTACGATATCTGCACTTACTATTTTTCGCCTATATTTGTGATAAAGTATCAAAAATTATATCTTGTCCCCACATAAAAGTTAACTTTTCATGAAACCTCTTATTTGGGACGCGTGCTGTCTGGTGCAAACTTGTTAGGTCTTGATTTCAACGGGCAAATGATTTCAACGTAAAAACGTGCATTTTGTAAAAACGTTCATTACTATGCCAAAATACTATGCCAAAATACTATTGCTGTTGTGGGAAAGTAATAAAATATTTCTCTTTTTTTTCGCATATATACTGCTTTAAATGAGGCGGGTTTATGGACATTGATGATAAAAATGGTCCGAACCAATTTATTTTCAATGGCTTTGTCCTTGGGACCAAGACATATCAGTGTATTAAATTTCGCAAATTCCGACGCATGGGTTGAATATAAATATATGAGCAGAAATTAGACGGATGAACTTCACTAAATCGATCGGTAGTAAAAAAGATCATAAATTCCATGTTAAATCCTTCTGAGTGCAGTCTTAAGGACCGATGTGCCGCGAATGAGATAGGGTATCAAAACACCGAATCGATAGGTCCAATGAAACGTAGATCTGTTCCAAGGTCTTCTTAATTTTAAAATACATCTGCTCATACTTATTACACAAATTGTGTAAAGCATGAAAATCGCTGTTAGCAAGTTTTGTTGGGGCATACACTCTTCTCCGGTTGCAAAGCAAACTTCGCAAGCCGAGTCAAAAATATCATAATTTTGATTGTTGACTGACATGACCTTAAAAAGGAAATACATGAAAATACGACGCCTTCATAGCAATTGAATGAAATGTTGATATTAACTTGATTTCTTTCTTTGTTCGGCGTCTCGAAAGATATACTTTCATCATTTATGATTTCGCTGGTCACATCCACCCAGAAAATTTTATCAAGTACCCTGCACTATAATCAATCAATAAAAGTTTTTTCATTTCTTCGTCTCTTCTTCTTATGAAAAGAACGCAAGCTAGCTGCAAACGTAACGGCATGCAGTCTGCCTCAAGTGATGCCAAAATCGAAATTCCGTCAAATTAACAGTATGGGGAAACTTTTAAAATTTATGTTGGTTTGAAACAGCGGATGCAAATTATTCACTTTATTGTCTATACAACAGATTGGCCGTAGGAAAACTGTAACCGTATTCATCAACCTAACTTCCTACAAGAGTGGCAACATCAGTTTAACCTCGTTTCCCTAACATTTCGATGTTTTTTTATAAAATTAAAATTTTCAAAACCTACAACATACGCTTCAATTTCCGCAATGATCTCAACCTTTGATCCTTATCTCTTAACATTTATAAATAGATAATTGCCGCTAGAGATTAGTCAGACCCAAGAGGATGATAATAGAAGCAATAATTCTAATTTAAATTCATGAAATTTATACTATCGGTGACAGAACACTGTCAATCAACGCGATATTCATTGTGAAAGTAACTTTTTTATGTTGCAGCTTTCATGCAAAACAGTGAATGCACTACCTTTTTAATTCTTTACGATGTCTGCTGTTACGTGCTGCAACTTCACTTTTCGAGTGTTGAGATGAGTTTTGCAAAGCTTAATGGTATAAACAATTTTTTTGGTTGTCAATTTGCGTTCAGCACCAACGATGTCCGTTCGAAGTTATTTAAAATCATACAACCATCGAGAGTTTGCTGTCTGATCATTACAATATTCACAACAATGCTTGATATGACCAAAGGAGGAATATAAATTCCTTACTAAACGTGCTTCATGTCTTGTCCTGAAGTAATTACAGGGCTCTTCAACTTTACCTTAAATGTAATTTGTTTTTATTCTATGTATGTGTAAGAGATCAACAACTTACAAATCCATTATGAGTAGGGATAAGAAGGCTGTATAATGCGTGCACTTCAAGAAGCTTTTTAACGTATAACTGTTTACCGAATCCCAGGTAATCGTATATAGACGCTTGCAATTTCTTATCTCCATCCAAATCATCTCCATTCTTATTATTATCGTATGTCAAAACATATGTTTAGCGATTTAATTTTCTATAAAATTTTTTGAATTTAATTTCGAAAATCAGGATGAAATTCCTTCTATTCAACTCCTAAATATTGCTACAAAATTTTTCCTTAACCTTTCTGCACGTACATAAGTAGAACACTTGTAATAATAGTAAAACAAATTAGTTTTTAATTCTTGAATTATTCTAAACCAAAATTTCATTATTATATGAATTAATTAATTAATTAAAAAAAAAATAATAATAATAAAAAAATAAAAAGGAAAGAAAACGGAGAAGAAAAATACTGCCAAGAGTAACTAAAAATTTTGTAAAACTTTTATTTACACTAAACCTCTTTGAAAATGAGCATTTATTTTAAAGGATTATTTTCAATATTATTAATATTTTATCTCAATAAAAAGAAAAAAATATTATAAGCGATAAATATTAAATAAAATAAAAACCCATTATATAACGAAATATTATGGATATATTGTATATATTAACTGAAAATGCGTTGTAAAGCTTGAAAATAAAAAAAAAAAAAAAAAAAAAAAAAAGAAAACGAAACAAACAAAAGAACAAAACAAAACAAAAATTTCAAACACTTCCCAGCTGCTAGTGGCATTAATGTTTTAAGTGATTACGGGTTAATAAAAAAATGAAAAGACAAAAACTATTCTACAATCGTCGTTCGACGAGATATTATTGTTCGAAACATTTAAAATTTTCTTTTTTTGGTTTTTTTTTTTTGTGTGCTTTAAAGAAAATTATAGTAAATATTGCTCATTTGTGAAAAAATCAGTTAGTAATTGTGTAAAAACAAATTGATATACATGTATGTAATGAACTGGTTTTAAATTTCGACATATTAATATTAAAAAAAAAAAAAAATTGATATAAACCAAAATTTAGATAAGGATAACAACCAAGATAAGAAACTTATACTTGCTTTAGGGCGGAAATTGAATACTCATCGCCTTAAGCATAATTGTAAACATTTGAAAACGTTTGGTCTGAGGGTGAATTCATTTTTGGGCTAGCGGTACACGTATGTGCTTGTGCCAAATTTCAAAGAGTGTTGTCAACCATCACTATATAGTTTAAGTCATTATTTTTTTTTATTTTTATTTTTCTTTTTATGTATGTTATCTCTCTTCAGTTTAAGTAATTTGTAACCACGTTTATGGTCGCATCAGCACGCCCATTAAATGTTTCGATTTTGCTTTCTAGTTAAGTTAACAATTTTAACAATAGATAACAAAAAGACAGAAAGACAGACAAAAATCATATGTTAATCGTTTGAATCATTGGATGATACGACCCCTAAATTGTTAAGAAAATATTTCAAACGAAGTAACTGACTTTCGGAGATGAAATATTATTTTAACAAGATAAAACATTTTGATTCGAAAAGCATTCAAATCCCAGCTTAAGTAAAAGTTAGGTCCTCGCACCCTTTAACCGCATACTAAAAACTATGTGTAAAACTATGAGTTAGATCCTCGAGCTCATACTCAATGTAAAAATTTCACTAATTAAAAATAAAATTTTTGATTTTAACATAACTCTGTGTTAACATTAAATATTATAGCTTTTAGCCCAATTATTGCATATATATTATGTATATCATCACAGTTTAATATTAAATAAAAATTAACCTTCCTCTAGACCCTTTACGCGACTTTCTTTTGCAAAGCGTTCATTATATCTTTGAGACAATTTGCCGCAATGAGACTTAATAACTTAATCAATCACTCAATTAACTCTTCGAAATCAGTTATTAAACCTAGAATTTCAAAGTTTTAAAACCGTGAAATAGATAGTTGGACGTAAACTTTTGAGGACAGCTCTCTACAACTTAAACCTTTGACGACTTCATTGAAGAGGGAATTAAAAATTAAGTCTACGAATCCGTTCATCACTTTTAATAGGTTGGAAAACTCAACTATTTCACATATAAGTTACATATTTGAGACCGTTTATCATGCATAGATTCCAAGACTTGTATAAACTTTAGCTAAAAATTAACTCTTCAAATATGTCTTCTATAAGTAAGATATTGAATATCGAAGGCTTAAATTAAACGCTGAGTTAAATCTTCAAATGTATATCTCATGTTATCAAAGTGAGAACTAATTAAATCTTGAAGTTTGCGAGACGATTAACCACATGTAACGTCGAGGATCGAATTGCATGTATTAGAATATTTAGGTAAATACCAAGATAGGATTTGGATCATCTTTTTAAGCGTAAGGTCGCATGGTGTTCACACAATATTCTTCAAATAGCGAAACTAAACTCTTTTGAAAATAAATTCCGGATCTACACTCAGCGGTAATCGCTACTCTTCTAAACAGTTTACAATTAAACGACTGAAGCAGTGCACTATAATAATACAATTTTTTCTTAAACCAAACTGAACTATTATGTACTAATTTTATTATCAATCAATTAAGCAAACAAAGTTAATTACGTGTGTTTTTACTGTATTCTAAATTACTGCCACTATACGCATTATTTTCTTTGTAAGAAAAACAGAATAAATCACTAAATAAATCAATAAATGCAATTCTGTTACACTTTATTATTTACACAAGCAAAAAAAAAAAAAAAGAAATAAATAAATAAAACAAAAAAAAAAAAAAAAAATAATAGACAGAGACATTATACTTTTCCATTCCGGTGAACCGTCAATTTTTCTCTTCTTATGAAGAGGTAAAATTCCGTACCATTACCAAATCTTTATATTAACGACATAATCTTTGTGAAAAATAGCAGTACAAAAAGAAGGAAGAAATTTTAATTTAGTTATGGCAAATTTGAACGAAATGAAAACAAAAACGAAGACAAAAAAAAAAAAATAAAATAAATAAATAAATAAATAAATAAATAAATACCAAAAATCTACTATTTTATATTTAAAATTAAATAAGATAAAAAAAAATATTTTTCTAAAAATAATTAAGTGAATCAATAAATAAAAACTAAAAGCATATATAGCAACAACTACATATATATAAATGTGAATTTTAAAAGTAGCCCGTATTGTTACTTTTCATTTATGACACACATAATAAGCATAGAACCGTGTAAAGTATTCAAAGCGATCGAACGATATAACATGTAAAATAAACTAATGAACAACAAATTAAATCTAAAAATTCATATGTAGATAATTAAAAATTAAAAAAAATTGTATATTAAATGCAAAATATTGCAAATTCCAATAAATGATAATTAACTTCAGAAATAAAATAAAATTAAATTAAAGAATTCATTATTCATTGTAAGGAATGATATCCAAAATGTTTAGAAAACAATATCGTCTCAAGTCATTTAATAGGAGGACTGGAAAGTAATGTCTTGCGTTTCAGCGCATGTCAGACAATCGAGGAATTGGCAAACACTCTTAACCGATCCTGATCGACCATCGAACAACATTTGCTGCAGATTGCCAAAGTGAACAGGGCAGATGGTTTGGTCCCGCATAATCTGTCCGAAGATAATGTAAAAGAAAAACATCATCAGCTGTTAGAAAATGAATTATTAAAATTTTCAAAAATTTGAAAAAAAGTAAAGCGTGCTCGAAATTACATTTGCCAATTGCAAAGAAAATGAAAAGAAAATTGGTAAAAGTAAGTACACTTTTTTTTCGTTTTCTTTTTAAATACCAAGTTACATTAAGTAACGTTAATCAATATGTGCATTTCCAGCAAAATGTACCATAACCTCCTTTTACGCTCGTTCGTTGAAGAGGAGAACAATGACAACCGTGATGCAGAGAAGAGAATCGCCATGAGACGGCGACAAGGCGAGAAAAGCTTTGCGGTATGATTCCTGCTAGATGACGCTAGCGCTACCTCAAAAAGGGTACGATATTGCGTTGTATGCAGAAGATTTATGCAGAAGTTATGCGTTATTTGCATTATTCCGATAAGGCAGAAAAATATCATCTGCTTACGCAAAAAGGGCGCAATCGTTACTAACCAAATCCCTAAGATCATTACGAAAAGATTCTAGAGTAGGTGGCCCAAAATGGAATCTGACTAGACATAGCCTAGGTAAGAGTAGAGTTGGAGTCGTTCATAGAAACAATCTGTTTACGATCTCAACTATAGGACGATATAAGCTTACAAGCACTTTAAGAAAAGCTGATTTTATCATATAATTTGTTAGTAAGCTTTGTGGATGGGATTCTGTCAAATGCTTTTGTTAGACCGAGAGCGATAAGAACACAGCTCATACCAACATTGACGTTAATCCTAATAGACACCATGATAGAGATTAAAAGTTTCAAAGTACAAAGTCCACACTGGAAGCCAAATTGGGCATCTTGCAGAGCATTACTGTTATTCAAAAATGAATCAAGTTGTCCCTTCATTATATTCTCCATAACTTTCGAGAGGCAGGATAGGACGCTAATCGGTCGAAGATTATTCTGTATAAAAGAGGAGCCCTGTTCAGGAATGGGTGTTATTTTTTACTGAGTTGTCTGCAACAGAGACCATTTCTGTAACAAGGTTCATATCTTAAAGGCTATACTCGGACGAAAAAAATCGCAATTAAAATCACCAGTTATTGTAATATTGGGGTAGATGGCAATCAGATCATTGTCCATTCTGTCGAAAGCGAATATATTTCCTCTGGGCAAGTACACAACGCCACTCAGCAATTTATTATTGCGGAGACCTAGTTCAACTAAAAAACATTCACAGATCCCTCCCTCCATAACTCGAAACCCTGCCCTTAAATCCAGTTTGAACGAGATGTAGAGAACAACTTCCCCACCTCTAGATGCTAGTCAGTCAGTCCTAGATAAATTATACTCCGGCAAACATACAGCGGCGTCAAGAACATAGTTCTTTAGCAAATAACTCAAATATATTGCACCCAACACGATTGCTGAGCTTATCGAGTTTCATAAACTTGTTAAAAGAACTAGTACTCTGGTAGTTCAGATGTGCAACGTTAAGATTAAGGTCATCATACTTCAGACAGATCGAACTAGCAGCCAAGATTCAAACCTAGCAGCATTCAAAAATGAGTACAACAGACGAAAATGGTTATTACGAAAATTCCGTACAACAACATAAGCAGTGTACTGAAAACATTATTACCAGAAAACCATCAAATCAAATTAACTTGTTATTCCAATAGTACTACAATTAAGTACATACGAAAGCTAACTACAATAAATTTAACAAAAAAAAGCTGAGATATAGT